CGCCATGTCGCAGGACGTTGGCGAAACCCGCGCTTACCGTGCTCGCCGCCATCTTCTTGTCGATGGCAATGCGGCTTCCCTCATGTCGCCAATGTTTGTATTTAGTTTAGGGGTCCTGATAACAGTTTCTTAGACACCACAAATAAAGTTATGGGTCTAATTATTCGTTACAAACAGTTAAAATGGATATAAAAAGCGTGTCCTCGATGTGAACACGTGACATTGCAGTTGGTTTCGTTTTTGCTTCAACCTTCAACTGCAAGCGATCTGGCCACGGCGCAAGCGCAACGCCGATGTACGCTGGAAGCAAGCGCCGGTTGGCTTTCGTTGTTTTTGTTTGACCTGGAGAAAATCTGGCAAGTACGCATGGCGCCGCTACTGTTTTCGTTTGACGGGACGCGAGAAGCTTCGCATAGAGCTTCGGAGTTTGCGAGCACATAGTGAAGACGTGACCGGAGAAGTGCCCCTGTGATGTTCCTGGAAGACGGAAAGTAGCATTCGTAATCGTCGTGTGTGCTTTGAAAGCGAAGGGAGTCACAGGGCCCACGAGTTCGCAACCACAAGCCAAGGTTCACGACAGCGCGGCGTTGACTTCGACGATCTCGTTCTGTTTGGTGCAACCCGGCGATGCGAAAAAGAGCTGAAACATTCGTCGTGTGTGGTACGGTGCTTTGTATTCCGGGTCTGTTTGAACCACGCTTTTAACACGGAGCGCAAATTGTTTGTTGCGTGGTGGAGGTTCGACGGGTACAGTCCCGTCGTCGTCAGCTGATCCGGTCCAGCTGGTCCGGGAGGACGCAGCGAGCGTTTTTAAAAGTAAATCTTCCTTCGTTCCGTTTCAAACTGTGGAAGTATCCCGACACATACCGTGAGTAAGAAGCAGCGGGCGTTTTCAACAAAATTACGTTGTTTTAACTGAATAATGGACTCCGGATTGTCGTCTTAAATCTGCCGTTTTTTATGCTTCGTGTTGGACTGCGTTTGCATAGCGACGCACACGGCTCGAGTAGATGATTCGGTCCTGCAACGAGTTTGTTGCGCCAATCATGCGGCGTGAATAAACTAGGGCAAGGTTTCCTACCTGCCCACAGATGCATGTACTGGGACCATTTCTTATGTTGTGAACGTAGTGCTCTTTCTTTATTTTGGAAGACGCGTTGGTGCATTTATTATGGTACGATCACTTGAGAGTTGAGAAATTGGAGAGCGAGCAAGCTTTCTCAACTTTGTCTCTTTCTCTCTGGCACTGCTCTGTTTCAGTTTCGGTAGGCATATCTACTAGCAGGTACAAACTGCTCTAAAGCAGGTAAAAAACGGGAAGCTTAGGACGGTGCGGACTCCGTGTTTCGCGCTTTTCGCAAGGTGACAGGGTAAATGCTTTTGCGAGATATGCGGAACATGCGAGCGATTTTGTTATGCCCGTCGTTTGCGTCTCTCCAGCAAAACGAATAAGATGATCTACTACAAAGGCGCAATCACAAGCCAAGATTTAAGATAGCAGTCGTTTGCTTCGGTGATCCGTGTAGCTGTATTTTACCCTGCTCTCTGCAACACCGTGTCATGACGAAGAGCTGGAACGGTCACGGTTTGTGCTGGCCTCCCGGTTGACAGAAACCCGCGTTGCCCGCATCGGCACCGAGTGCGCTTGGGCTGTTGATGCTCAAGCCTTTCATCCGCGGCTTGTCGCCAGGTCATCATGCTGCTCAACGGTGAGGAAGCGGCGAGAGTAACCTCGGAAGTGAATGTAAATCCTCGTTCATTCAGTTATTCGGTGTCAAAGTGTGGAAGATGTCCAACGACTACTGAGGGCGGGAACTACGAGCGTTTTGCCTTGCTTTTATAACCGAAACCAGACCAACGAGATAACTGCCTTGCGTACTCTAAAATGACGGAAGCAATAAGTTTCAACAGGTCGAGTACGTCACCGGGGACGTAGGCGAGACGGTGCACACTGTTTAAACGCTTGCAGTATCCACGAGTGGTACCAGGAAAGCGACGTCAACAGAGAAGGAGCTCGCAATTCAGCATAATGCACTGCTACGGGCCCGTGTATCTTCAAAGTTCGGGGTGGTGGCAGTATAAAAAAAAGACGCATCAGCGCCCCACACCAGTGTTCACGAATAACACCGGTCACAAACTCCCAAGCCCCACCGCTCTTCTCGACACCGACACGACATACGACAACAAACTGCATCAAAACGTCCCAAAAGTGAAGGCGTCTGCTCCCGTACTGCAACTGCTGCAACTAGCGGAAGTGAAGTGTTGGGCGGATGTCCGGATGTCCTTCACAAAAATATATAAAAAATGCTTTGCGCAAGGATCATTTTCATTTATTATTGTATACGTAATGACAAAATCCCAATAATTTGTTTTCCTATCTGATTCAAGCTAGTCGGACTGCTCATAACACTGGTCAAGCAAGAAAATAACAAAAATTTGAACTTTTTCATGACCGGTTTAAGATTTATTGTTGACATATCGTTATTTATTGCAAGGGACTAACATTATAGATTTTGCCGCCATACGTTTTAAATGCAAACAGTTCTAACACACGGCTGTCCATTGCGCCGTGTTTTGTGTATTCTTCTATAAATCTGTAATGGTCAGCGACCAAAGAGCTCACCCGCACATGTCAAGCTTATATGCGCCGCGGGGAGAAATGGACAACGAGTAGGAAGTGTCGGGCGTAGTGTTGGTTGTTGTGTTTGTGTACATGTCGGTGCTGTGTGCTGTGTTGCCTGCGTTGTATGTAGGGTTGCCGTGTAGTCGTGGTCGTTCGCAGTGTAACAGACTCGTCTTTTTTAAAAAAAAACAGGCTGCTAGAAATCTTGATAGGTGGCGCAAGTTACCGCCCGATTCTAAATAGTTTGCTCAAGTTATTTATCCATGTAAATTCGGCATTCGTTTTTTTTTTTTTTTTTTGTCTAGCGGCTCGTTGAAGCTACTGACGCCGCCGACCGCCGACAACGCACGTACGTACCTTTGCAAGTAGCTACGTCCGCCGCTTGGAGACTTTACTGTGTATAAAAGACATCGAACGAGAACTAACGCGCCCTGTGTGCTTTCAATTCGGCTGAAAGGCGCGCGGCTCGCTGGGCTCGTCTCTCGCCTGTTCTCGGCAGCTGGCCGCCATGTTTCATAAGGAACACGCTCGAAACGGTTTTGCGGAAGGCAGACACGGTGTAGCGTGTTAAGTTTACACAGCACCTCATGTGTAGACGAAAAACACAGATGGCCTCGTGTAAAACGAACACGTTTCGACCTGTCCGCTATGGGACAACGGTTTACACGTCTGGGCGTGTTATTTTTGCTAACAGTGTACAGGCGTGAAGAAAAAAAACAACGATGTTTGGGGTGGATCTTGGGACAGAGATTGGAGCGGCTTGTTGCCATGCATTGCAGCAAGATGAAAAATAGTTAGTTGGAAATTGAAACTAAACAGAACAAGTCATTTTGGGGTAGTGAATAAAAAAAAAGTAAAAAATAGGCATTTATAGGCGGGAAACGGTGGTTTAGGGCTAAATCGCCAAAATAGGCATTTATAGGCACTAGAAAATCACTCTTAAAACACTCCTCGACTCATGATTCGTGCTCATTAATAGGAAGGAAACGGTAGGGATCAAAGGAGCAAATAAGGCATTTGCCTAAAGATTCGGCCTGTGGTCATCAGTCCTGGACGCGGACAGGCGTCCAGTTCCTTCTTTAGGGCTGAAACTTGCGCGTCCTTCCTTACGCGTGTGTATTCCTTAAGACACTATTTGGCGATAAAACGCTTCCTGCATGCTGTGCGCAAAGCCTCCAGTAAATATCGGCGCCGGACACACAAAACACCCCCCCCCCCCCCCCTCCCTCAACAACAATGGTGGCCCTGCCTGTGCAAATTACAAGCAGGGCAGCCATTGTTTCTTGCACCGCAGTCGCAACTGAACTGATGTAGCAGGTTGAAACCTGCGCAACAGGGAAGACATCGACCCCGCACAAAAAGCGCCGATAAGACAGTGCCGCCAACACAAGTTTAAGATAACCAGAGTGCGGATACCTTTTCTTATTACCCTCATACCTGTGTTAGTTTATTAACTACAGACGACATGCGATCGATCTACGGGATCTACAATTACATCTAATTTTATCACAGGCAACGGCACATATGATTCCATAGTGCAGTGTTCACACGGGACGAGCTCTCCTACTGAGCAGAACACTATAAACAATGCGATACATATTAACGTTTTGAAACACCTCAAAGATACTTTCATTTTAGATAAGGCAGAACAGTTATTTAATAGCGTTGTCAAACGGGGACGTTAAAGGCCTTCAGACCGAACTCCTTTAAAGTGTCGGCGAACAGCGCACGCCGATAAGCGCAATATCGGGAGCTAATTCGACGATTCTTATAAGTTAATTCTGAAGGACTGTAATGTGCCTGTCTAACACCGAAATTGCAGTATATAAGTTCCAAATTCTTTTGTTAAGAACTTAGAAGTGATTTAAGGAATATTACTTAAAATCATATTTCGTGAGCAAAATAATATGGATTATTTTATTTGACATATCAGTTGACTGAGATTGTACCCACAATACCTTCATAATATTAGATACAGTGCGACTATAGTTGGGTACAAGTTAGGAATGCTTAAAATAAACAACACCACATGCCAACCGCGGCATCGAATCACTTTGCGGACCATCCAGGAAAGGCGGTAGCCATGACGAGTTTTACGAAGTGGGCGCATGTGGAAGAGAAAGGTGTTTAGCACGGCCCAAGGTCCGTGAAGAGGGGTAACTCAATTGCTGTGACGTTTTGGATACAGGCGTAATTTTCTGTGTCCAGTCTCTCTTACCCTTCTTGCTGGTGAGCAGTATTCTCCGAATCGCACAGAGGTTGGCGCGACGTGCACCTTGGCAGCGGACTCCTTGCTTATTGCGATGGAACACTGGCTGGGGCTAATCATGATGTGGGAGGAACTTCTGGCGCATTCTCACCTTGTATGGGGCTATAACTACAGCGCTGTTATTTCTACTTCATCCTCTTGATCGAACACAGCTGTTTGTTCTTTTCTGCTGTAGCCGTAGCTGTTATTTTGAACAAAAGATGACTCTTGTGCCTCCATTTGTGTCCAGAAGGCGTCGAAGTCCAGGGAAGGAACATCGCCTCCATATTCCTCGGGAAGAATGCTGGGAGGTATCTCTTTGTGCAGATTCTCGAAGTTATGTCCGTGAAGGTGAATCTGAAGACAAAGTAGACTGCCTCATGACTCGAGGCCGCTTTTTTGGCGCCCACTAGGGATGGGCGAGCAGATAGCAAGTGACCAAGAGAAACAGACATTCGTATGCTTCAGATTCTATTTTTTTTTTTTTTGAAACGTAAAGGTTTGCTTGTTTATCAATATTAACTGAAACTGCATCATGGTTCATATACATATATATATACATATATTTTTTATAGATCAATATTTATTGTTCATTTAAATAATCATTCTCATCGCCAACCCCGGCTGCTACAACGTTCTCAACGTTTTTGCATCACGTTTTTGCTATTTTTTATTTTATTTTACCGGTTTTGAGCTGAGTTCTAAAACAAATAGACATAAAACGTTTTTGCGAAACTACGTTCGCGTGTCCACTCTCATACATGCATTCGGAATTCGAATTGTGCCAGGCGAGCCAAATGTGCTGGTTTTTATGGCCGGGGCAATTATATGTACGAGATTAAAACCGTCCGTCCGCGTTCGCTGAGGCTAACGGTTATCGAATTCAGCAGCCACAAATATATGCAGCACATCCATTAACCTTTGGGTTGATGGAGCAAATGTCAATGATGAAGAATATAGGCATGATTGAACGAGAGAACGACGTCTAACCTCCTCCTCCGTGTTCAACAAATCCAGACACCATGGTGATACTCACCCTGTCCGCGAGCTTCTTCTTCATGAAAGGTCTCACAAGCCCAAAGAGTACATTGAATGCGTACGATTGCCTCACGGCATGAAATGCTTTCATTCGGGCTGGCAGGCAGTCCTGCGCAGGGGAAGGACGCTGATGTAAGGTACGACGCCTCGCAGTAAGGACGTGCACAGCGGCCGCAAGGACCAGCACATTTGGCATGCCTTGCAAATTTAGAATTCACTACGTACGTACGTGACATTAGGTACGCGAACGGCGCTTCTGAAAGAGGTTTTTGCCTACTTTTATAAAAAACAACTCAGAGGTGGTGAAATATTAAAAAAGAAATAGAACAAAAACGGCGGCCGTGCATTTTTTATTGTTTAATACAAGCCTGTTCGTTGTTTGCGCTCTGGTTTGCGAGCTCGCTCTCACGTGGTGTGCGGAACGCAAAGGCGCCGAGAACGCCATAGTAGTGGTAAGTGGTTGGCGACGAGCAGCATAATTGCGGTAAATAATAACTTTAGCAAAATCTATAAACAACTATGCAGTTTTATTTCGCGTTTATAAAAAAAATGACCGGCATCTCCACGTAGTGAATGATGTTGATTGGGGCGAAGCACTGGTGGTACTGATGATACTGATTTCGTTCACGCATTTGAGCATTTGACCGCAGCTCCCTCTCGTCTATAAACGTTGAGCCAAAGCATGCAAAGTTTAACGCGATTATATACGCATTTGACCTCAGCGCCCTCTTCTGTATACGTGTTGAGCGGCTACATGCAACGTTTCATCCATGACATCCCCAGCTCTTGAGATACTACCACATCTCAGGGCCCCCTTCTCGTCCCGCAGTCGTGGCCGAGTAGTTAAGGCGATGGACTAGAAATACATTAGGGTCTCCCCACACAGGTTAAAATTCTGTCGACTGCGCAAATATTTTTTTTTTGTTTTTTGAGAAGACAGGTTGGATGGCAATCGATGTGAGCATGGACGCCGGTCAAGGCTAGACCCTAAGAAGCTTCGCCCCTAAAAAAAAAAAAAAGACCGATGTTATTTTGTTGAATAAGAATAAAATCACAAGTAGACCAATGTTTGTTTCATTTTGTTGTCTGCTATGCGTTCGCACATCCCTGCCGGACGCGTATCAATGCGCGAACGAATGAGATACGATAAGATAAAAAAAACCTGGGTCTGCATTAAAGTCTATTTTTATTGAAGAGTTTAAGTTCGCTTGTTTTTAAATACAAAATGAAACGGCATAGTCGTTCATATATTTTCTTAAAGTAATTATTTATCGCGATTGTCCTCTTCGTCGCTAACCGCTGGTACGGCGTTCTCAGCGCTTTCGCTTTGAGCACACCATCTGGGAGCGAACTTCCAAACCAGAGTGTCGGCGACGAACAGGCTGTTATAGACCCATCAGAGAAAAAAGCGCCACCTGTCGTAGGCAACAGCAACTAGTGGCAGCCGCCATGCTGCAGGATAGCGCGCGCCGCTGCATACGCTGCGTTGGCCGTAGACGCTAGTCAATTCCTGCCCACGATGCCAACGTACTGCTGCGTATCCCTCCGTAAGCAGAGTGGGTATCTGGACAAGTCTGGCATTAAGGCACGTATTCGGAAATGTACTCGTTATCGGTTGACGGCGGCGTAGCCGCGCAAACGTTTCCCTGCTGAAGTGCAAAAACGGAACACGAACCGTTCTCACGCTACGCTTCCTTGGGTGTTTGAGTCAGGTGTTTTTAATCTCACTTTGTTGCGTTTGGAGGTAGAGTTTTCAAGCTTCAGCTATACTTCGTTTCTGCTTCGGTCCAGACGCAGCCGATGCTACTAGCGCGAGTATGTGGCCCAGAACAGTGCTTGCACTGCACGAGCACGCGTGCTTGGCAGGGATGCTGAAAGCCCGGAGCTCGCGCTTGTAGCTTTGGCTGCGTCTGGACCGAAGCTGAAACGAAGTATAGCTTGAAGAAATCAAGGCGTCAAATACAAATATAATGTTGCTCGTGGTATCGCTTGTGGACGTGACAGCTTCGCGAGCGCCTAGCTTCAGGTATGCACGAGCTCGCGGTGCTTCAAACTTGCGCGTGTAAATTGTATGTTAGGTACGCATGAAGCCATACGACCTGACGCTTTAACCTGCCTGTAGCGCAGACATCTGTGCAGCGCGTGCTTTATGCAAAGCAACATGCACGCGCTTGCAACTTCTGCTTCACTGCAAAATTTGCTGCTCTACATTTCCCAACTCTAAAATCCCGCTCAAGAAAAAGGGACTCGACGTATCAAGTAGGAACTTGTGTCAAATACGTCCTTTACTGGTTAACTTGCGCATTGAAATTTTAGGTCTTAATTCCAAGTAAAAAAACGCGATTTGACGAGCGACGAGTCAAGCGACGAAAGTCGGCTACGAGCAACGAAAATGTTTCACTGTCGCTTGTTGCGTCGCTTGGTTTGGGATTTCTAGAAAACGACGCTCATCGCCTTGGTCGCTCGCTCGTCGCTTTTATGCGGTGTGCTTCATCGCGCGACTGTCCGAGCGGCAGCGAAGCGGGACCCCTGCGCCTGTTTTGTCGCACATCCGGAGAGTACTGGCGACTTCTAACTACAGCCCGTAAATTATAACCAATTTCTATCATTTTTTGATGACATGTTTGATGTCGCAACTACAAAGATCTTAGTAATTATTTTTTTCGTGCGTAGTTGGCCTTTATAGATGCGGCGACCACGAACCCCTCAACGAGAAAGTTGTAACTTCTGTCGAATTGTCGTTCCGAGTCCGATCGGCTCTTGAAGAAGCGATATACCTCATCATCTTTAACGGCTGGGAGCTGGGAAAGGTCGTTTACCCAACCCGTGATCGGGAAAACGCTACCTGCAGCCATACAGAGGCGAAGGGATCGACGAAACAAGAACGCTACAGTCAAAACGACCATGCCGGCCGCAACAGGGTCCTTCCCAATGGCGCCGGCCGCCCTATGTTTTTGGACCCGTTCAGCGGATTTTCGCTGTTGCCAGATTTTTTGAAAGGGGTCTATAGTACTTAGGAATCGAAGGGCGCCATTTTCGCTTTATCTTTTTTTATGCTTGACCACCTGTGAGTATCGCTCTCAAATAAATGATATACGCATGTCCAGTGTCATGTATGTACGTTTGGAATTCAAAATTTGCCCGACGTACCAAGTGTGCAGGTCCTTTCGGTCGCTCCCTGTACATAAGAGAGTTGCACTCAACAAGCTAGATACTCCGAATCACCCTCTGAAAGCGCTTGCGCGCCCTCTACTTTTCCAGAGGGCACCTGGGGGGCCAATCAGTACAGCAAGCGAATGTCGAGAACAAGAACACAACTTGGCTCAAAAACACGCTCTTGCGCTCAAACAAGGCTCGCAAAAAATGTCAACTAAACTTCCCTGAGCAGATTTTTTTTTTTTTTTTGACGGCCCACGTTTTTGTGTTTTGTCCGTTTGTGGACAAAACAGTGGAACGGGAAGCGCGCGGCATAGAGAGGAGGAGAGTGGTGAAGAACAAAGGCGAGAGGGAGACAACGTCACGGGGTCGAAGCCAATGCGCGCGCAGAGGCCAAGGCGAGTCTGAACTTGCAGGTGTGCGGTGCGCGTACGCCTTGGTTTGTATCGTGGTGTAATACGGCAGAACAACATGGGACGAAAACGAAGGGAGAACTGGACAGGACGCGGACGCGGTCCAGTTCTCCCTTCGTTTTCGTCCATGTTGTTTTGGCGTATTACACCATGATGCAAAACCGACTAGCCCAACTAGCCAGCATTTGGTTTGTGCTATAAAATAGAGTGTGAACCAAGTACTAGCACTTGAACAAGTAGGTGGCAAAAAAAAAAAAGAAATAAAGGAAGATTCATTGGGAGATATTTACGGAATGCGTTAACGTTTAGCATGACCCGTAGGAAACGCCACACACGCACCCCCTTTCGGAAACTTCCACTCACTTGAAGAAACTCGATGGCCCGTCTTATTAAGCCAATACTGTAGTAGAACACTTTTTCCGGGGTGAAATCTTGGTAGTCAACAAGAAAGACAATTCCGGCCGTTTGTGCTGAAGGATCGTCTGCCATGTGCTCGAAGCACATGAGCGTTGTCTGTTGAAACTCCCGGTAGGGCAGCGTGCTGGGCGTCCACGATCCTAAGCAAGGAAAATCACCCACGTTCGTAGTCCGTTTCAAAACTTACATCTTTCCGCATGAGGCCTAGAACGTAATCTGGTAATCGTAATTTGACACTGCGACAATAAAACGGTGACGAGGCACAATCATTCAAAAAAAGAATATGAGGGTGCCTAGTATCAGCACAAGTTTATGTTTAGATTCCAGGCTCCTTACAAAGCGGTCACTTTAGCAGTGCGATTAAATGTATCAAACCCTCGTCCGTTCCAAATTGGACTATGCCGCAGCAATCTGGAATCCGGGTCTCTCAACTGTCGTGACTAATCTTGAAGCCCTAAAGAATCGCGGTGCCCGTTTTATATTTACTACTTATCATCTCACATCTACAGGGTCCGATCTAGAAAAGTAAACCCTACTTTTCGACCCGCGTAAAAAAACTACGCATCGCAGAACACTCAAACTCCGCCAGAATGTAACCCTAGCGGTCGAAGCAAGATGCCAAAGTTTCAGAACATGAGCTTATCTGGATCAAAAGATAAAAGAGACAAACGAGAAATTTCTACGAGGAGGCTCCGACCACGGAGAGACGCAGATGGAGGCCGTCTGCTTTGCATTGCATCGCATAGGTGGCGCCACCACCTATGCGGGTTGGCGGGTTATCACGGGCATCTGCCGGGCTTGGCGGCAAATTCGGAATTGTTCTCTATCATTTCAGAAGTTTCACTTACGCACTCCCCTCTGTAATGCCCCAGGGCCGCCTGGGTACTGAAATAACTAAATAAATAAATAAATAAATACCCATTGTTTTGTCACAGTTTCGGGCGGAGCGTTTTTTAGAAAGAAATGCTTTATGTGCCACGCTTGGAAATCTCCGAAGGTTTCAATCCGCAAAGTTGCTAGTTTTTTGCCTATCAACAGGGTCAGATATATCAAGCCTTTGTGATGTTAGGATGGTTACCTATAATTCAGCAAGATGTGTCTTTTCTAGCGCGGTCCAAGTCACGCTTTTTCTTTTCTGTACTTGACAGCCTTTTCTAGCTGGCCTTATTGGATACTGCTACGGAATTGGCACCGAGGTACTAACTCTAATTGATATCAGTTACCTAGTAATAAATATAAAATCATTAATGGCAGGCTAACCGTCCGGGCTCCATGTCCCTTACTAGCAAGTCCCCTCGCCGTTTGGGGAACCAACCCCGTGACAAAGGCGTCAGCGATTTAAGTGACCTCAACTTTTCCATACATGCAGTCCATCGAGAATCGTGACACTGAATAATATCAGTATCATCAGTGATGAAGTTATCTGAACTATGTGTACTTACTTATTTTGTAAGATTAAGAACCTTAATGTTTTATAAAATTTCTATTCTTATTTTGATACGTATTCGATCATGATTATATTGAGACGGGAATATCAAAGTAAGTCACGTGTTGTTTGCAATAGGAGGCATACATAAGAACTTCTGAGCACCTTGCTGAGTTCTTATGTATGCCTCCTATTGCAGACATTTCATCATTATTTGGTTCACGAATGCCTTCGTGACCAAACTAATGGCGTAGGATCACGCCACAACAAGGCGCAACATTAAATTATGCCAACAAAAATAATTAAACTGACTCCATTATGGCGGCAGTATACATAACCGTTGTCCTTATGTGTGACCATATCACATCGACCAAGAAAGACACCGCAAGTAAATTAACATTTTTAACTCTACTTACCTCGAAAAAACTAAATCCAAACTCAGAGCTTTTTATGCTGACAAGTCAATACATCACATTTACCTGCTTTTGCAAGCAGTACGAGGCGTCCGTGAACATCTCTTTCTGGCAACACCACAAACAGGCTTCTTGCAACAGGGGAGACCTTTGACGGCAGGAAATCATCGTAGATCGAAGGACAGGCTGCACGATTCCTGTAGTAGTTTTTGATGGTGTTCAGTGCGGCCTCTACGTCGTACTTGCGTACCCGAATAAAGCGCAGCAGAAAGTTTTCATCTGTTCTCGGACGGAGCTCAGGCTCTTCCGCTGGAATGATAAATAAGGAATATTTATAGAGGCAGTTTTGTTTAAAGCTTAACAGATTTGTTTAAAAATATCCGTGAAAGCTACACTAATCTGTTTGTGGAGATGGGCTATACGACCAGGGGGACGTAGTATAGGGAGCTGATCATAACGAATAGTTTAATGATTAACCAAAATATGTTATGAGCGTCCTAATTATTGCAAATACAAGTGCGGTCCTAATTAGAAACTTGCTGAGCGTAATCCAAACCCAATATTTAGGTCAATACTTGGAGACTTGAAGGACGTGGAAAGCACGACTGAGTGATACAAAATTCGTGCAGCATGCAGGAGCTTGGCTAACGGTGCAATAACGCGCTCGTGCAATTTTTCCGGCTCTTATCATAGCGCCAGCCTTGTGCATTTTGCGCGAGTGACAACTTTAGATCACTACTGATCTTCCCATGCGCTTAAAGTCTTCGAAAATGTTGCCGATTTCGGGGATCTCGGATGATAACTAGAAAGTTTGGATTTGGATCCACGTGCCTATATTCACTAATCGAAAGTTAATTACAAATGTTAATAAATTACCCGACTTATCGTGACGATTTCCCGTGTGTATTATGTCTTCCATGCCGAATAAGACACCTGCACAAACCTCATTAGCGTGGCTTTCGAGACTTTTTTTATTGTTTTTGTTCGTTTTAAACAAATTTGTTCAGCTCAGAAGAATACACACTGTATAATTTTCTCCACTCTAGTGCTATAACGGTTGCTTGGACGAAAAGTTTCCATCTTAACGATTTTTACACCTTTTCAATTACAGCTTAGCAAGGTTGTGGAAAGTCCTTGTAGAGCGTTTTATTATTGCTCACAAGGTTCTGATATCAGCGCATAAAAACGTCGGAGAAGAAATAGCGAAGCGAGACAAGTAAAGTCCTGCGTTTTTGAAGCTGCCAGTAACTTTACAAATGTATCTTTTTTTATTCTAATCACGAGATTATAGGCAATTGAATTGAAAGTGAGAATATTACCGGGGGGGGGGGGGGGGTTATTGTTGGGAGTTGCTTATCATTCTGTGTCCAAAGCGACAATACAGACGTAGTATATAGCTGTATGTGTTAGAAATTCGTCAAAAAAGACAGTAAAGTACTGAGCGCATAAAGTGTTTTATTGATTTAGGGAAGGAAGGTTCAAATGAAACGGCTTCAAACCTGCAAATCAATGCGGCGTTGTTTTTTTCATTGCTGGTCAATAAACGTTATGAAAAGTTTTGCAGTCTTCACATTTCCGTCAGTAAAATTGATTAGACTGGAGTTAGTAGAACTACAAGATATTTATTGATAATAACAAAATCCCAAGTGTCTCAATCCTCGGGACAAAACAAGACAGCTCGGAACATTTGAAATATACTCCGTGGGTCCCTACGTAATATGCTTGAGCGCACTATTTGTACTCCGCGCACTTTATCTACAAAGAGTGGGGTTCTGTTTTTCTCCGTAGTTCTTTGCGCTCCAGGCACTGCCAGTCACAGTTGGCGTTCGTCGCGGGGCTTGCAAAACGGTTCCGCTTTAGCGAATGATTAAGTGAGCGAAGAATCTGCAACTACCTCTTCAAAGTGGAATATCTACCTCTTTGATTTTATATGTTTCAAAGCAGGTGTAAATTATATTTTACACATGTTTGTACCTTTGCCAAAAAAGGGACTCCTCCATACACAGGATGTGCTCGACGATCTCTTTTTTGCTGTTCCGATAGAACTTGTCGTTTGGATCTTAAAACTGTGCCTTACGAAGCACCTCCTCTTCATATTCGTTCAGTTTCCTCGCACGCCTTTGAAGTGTACTTTTATGCCCGAGTCCCACTATAGACAATTGCAATCATGGAGCTCCAACTCGTGCCCCACGCTAAGGCGCTCTAGAAGGGGTGGTGTGTAAAGCAAAGGCCGAGGCGTGGTCCCGGTGCGCGCGGATGCCGTATGGTGGCGCCTTTTAGAGGGGCGCTGTAAACGTCTCGGGAAACGTAGCGAGCGAACGCGCGTCGGCTGTTATTGCTTGTGTGTTTTGCAGTTCTTGTTCACATCGGCCTACCTAACATGTGGAGTGTTATTTTTTGTGAGTACTATCAACGTCGCGCTTTTGCTTTTTTTAGGCAATTGCAGCGGTTTTACTCCTTTAGCGCGAGGCGGTCAACGCACCTACCCGCCTGTCGTCAAAGTGCTTTTTGTATTGTTTACTTTAAGATGCTCGTCCGCCCTGGGGTTCGCGCGGACCCACTTCTGAAATGCGTCGGGGTCTCTCGGTGCTCGAAAAAGGGATAGCTTATCCTTACACGACTTGTATCCTTCATTGAACCCCGGCTCAAAACACCAGCGTTGCGTTTTCTTCTTTTTCGCGGAAAGTATGACGGACCACCATGACAAAGCCGAGTAAACACCGATGAGACCGTAAGACTGACAGCTTCAGGAGCCACGGATAAAGTGCTCTAGAAGGGTTTTTGACTGGCTAAGGTGTTCTAGTACACCACGGACCAACTAGGCTGCGCACGGCGCTCTTTGGTACAGCTCCAAATTTATCCTATAGTGGCATCTATGCGCGGAGGGAGCACACCGCCTTAGACGAAAGGGTGGCGCTTTTCCCATCTTCCTTTCTAGTACACCCTACCCATGCGTGCAAGCACGTGCAGCGTGCTGGTGAACTTAGCTTTCACAAGCTTGCAATGGCACGGGCGTGCCCGGACGACCAGAAACATGAGGCGGCCAGTCGCCCTGATGGCAATCGTCTATACTCCATTCACCCTTAAGCAGAGACCGCAGCCAATGCAGAAGCACAATAACTTGAGGTTGATGCTTTGAAGCGTTCTTCCGCAGAACAAGCGCTCGTGCTATAAATGCATTTCTCAAAGCCAGGATCGAGGGCTAACTGGCGCATATAGCTGTGGTTGCAGTCTCGGCTTAAAGGGACCATGAAATTAATTGGCATTTTGCTAAACGCATATCGTTCAGTGCACCAAAATAAAACTAGTAGACGAGCGCATAAAGCCCAAAGTCTGCTTTTCGGCACGAACGTTTGAAAACATAGCGCACTATTTCGTACTTTTTTCCTTGGAAAGTTCTCCGCGCCTTTTCACTGAGGAGCATCAGCGGTGCCCAAGCACGTCAGCCGAACCCAGTTCACGCAATGCACACGAGCACTGCGTTACTCGGATGTATGCGCTCTTCGACAATCAATCCGTTGACGAATATCTGAACGCACGTTCGTGGTCAATAAGCCGTGACGGTACTTATCATCACTTCCGAATAACCAGCTCCAAGGTGTGAGCACAATGGAAGCTTGGTGTCATCGCCTTCCCTGCACAACCACGTTACGACCACGTGATTTCTCATTTCGCTTTTGGGTTGAGGACTAATGCTAAAATCGAAAAGGTTCAAAAATCTGTTCATGGTCCCTTTATGGGTGAATGGAGTATAGAGCGGCAAACATGAACGACCGACACCGACAAGCCGCGAACACATATGGAGCAACCCCGCGAGTGTGTCCTTGGCAGGCTTACGATCGGTTGTGCTTACATCACTAGCATCGTGTGACTATCAGTCTGCCAAAGCTTTTATCGCGTGCATGTTGCACGTGTTCGCGACGCTTGTCAGTGTCGGCTGTTTCTGTTTGTCGCTCTGGTGGAACATGGACGTTAGGCAACACGAAGACGTTGGCTGCATGCAGCGAGAATATATTGCCGCTGCTGGTGCAGTTTTCAAGGGTTCTACGTCTCATTCATGCACCGTGAAGCCTTGACTGGTTTTTTTTTTGTATGTCTGAACCACCCTACACAATAGGAGAAAAATCTATAGCTCGAGAGGAAACATTTAACCTGTCAAAAATCAGTTTACGCCTGTTGGTGGCAACATTGTAACGTTTGGCCACTTGTATATACTCTTCAAAAACGTTTATCGTCTAAACAATCAAAACATGGTACAATAATATATGTTAACAGTTAGTTAACAAGACAGACAAATAATATAAGAGCTTTGGTGGGTTCACAACCCACGAACAATAACTGCGCATTTTGTTTCCGCTACAGTGCTTCCACCAATCATAGCAGCTTTTTTATGAATAAAGCGGACTAGTGCGGCCACCTGTCGGCAAAGTATCAAGTTAATCATCTTCAAATATTCGCATGCATACAGATGACGCTACTGTCAAAATGTCTAATTTCATTCCATGTCTCCTTTTGCCTCGCCTTAACCTATTTGTCGAGAACTACACGTACCGGCTGTCGTATTTGTGTGAAAAATGATATTTCTTTGCCGTAGTAAGTTACTTATCATAATTCTAGGCTTGAAACAAATGACAAACACATTAGTTCTAGAGTGTCACAATTTTTGTATTTCTACTCTTTCATTTTACAAATACGAACTATATAACCTTGATGACTCGAGAAATGCAATAGGGTAAAAACACTTATCGGTTCGAACATTTTGAATTAAACGAGCAACTGTTCTGTGTCACGACGTGCTTAAGTGTCGGCATATGCTGTACTTGTCTAGATCGGACTCTTTTCGAAGTACTAGAAATGCTATTGGTGCAGAGCAGTGTAAGTTGAAACTAATATCTAAACAAAACTCGCAGAGACATCAGCGGGGAAGCCGAGGTCTTTAGAAGAAATTCCTTCCTGACTTCTGAGTCAGCGGGTAATGAAAAATCTCATGCTATTAGCGATACGGCTCCCGCCACTCTGAGGCATCAAGGATATTTTTTCAACTTCTTCCTGCAGCTACGATTAACCTCCAGACTTGTTCGTTGTTGTGGTTGTTGGCCTATTGAACTGTTGGCGGATACCCAGGGAGAGGATTGGCCCAGAATCGGCGTGTCCATGAAAAGTAAGGGTTTTAATTATGCTCGAAATTTCGAAGGAATATTTGAAGAGTGGAAGGCTCTATCAAGGTAATCGTTTTGTCGCCGTGATATGTGCGTGTATGAGGGAGCAAAGAACATTGTTTGTGAAGCCAAAGCACGTCGGTCGAGAGG